TGATGATCAGAAGAAATGGACAGCACCTAAGTTAAATATATGAGTGTCACAGCAAAGGGTCTGAATACTTATGTCCATGTGATATTTCAGTTTTTCTTTTTTAATAAATCTGCAAAAATGTCAAATTCTGTGTTTTTCTGTCAATATGGGGTGCTGTGTGTACATTAATGAGGAAAACAATGAACTTAAATGATTTTAGCATATGGCTGCAATATAACAGAGTGAAAAATTTAAGGGGGTCTGAATACTTTCCGTACCCACTGTACATACAATAAAAATGTCCAATCTACAGAATATAACAAAAGTGTTTTCCCTTTTCCTCTTCCAAACCCTGTACCTTTGAAAGCATCTGTGGCTCCTGGAGCAAAGTTCTTGTCAGGGTGAAACTTGAGGGCCAGCTTTCTGTATGCCTTCTTTAAATCTTCATCACTGGCATTTTTGGTAACTCCAAGGATTTCGTAGAAGTCCTTGCAATTCTTTATCCTGCAATAACAAAGCACAGTAGATGGTAAAACAGAAGCTTGAACTTAAAAGCCAAGCTTTCTGTACTGTCTTCACACAGCAGTTTGTTACATGAACATTTAAAGAGCTCCATCCAGCAGTCAATGTTACATCTACAGTACATGCAATGACACAAGTGTATATATGTATAAGGTGAAGAACAATGGTAGCAGTCAAGTCTGTCGCTGCATAACAGTGTGAAACATGAAAGTGTAAAGGGTCCCTGTGCACCTGTGAACACCTTGGCGTTGCTCCTCGTTGTAACTCTTCTTTTCATCACCGCTGGCATGACTTGTTTTAGTGTTTCCAATGTCCTCATCTCGCCAGCCAGTTGGTGGGGGGATGTGGTTTGCTTCTGGACCAGCCGGGGCTCCATTCTTTGCTATAGCATCTATCAGCACTACGAACAAGAACACAATTAAAATGGAACTGAAGAAACCTTAAGCAAGTTTTGATATCAGTTCGATAACCATGGAAATTATGAAATTACTGACCAACAAAAGCCTGTGGTTGATCAAAACATACAGATAGGGGAACAATTAAAAGGAAAAACCCAACATTAAGTATCTTATTATGGCGTTTAATCAACAAAAGGCTACAGAAAAGCAGGGTGGCTCCTTGACACATAACGTCTCTGAAAATCCTGTCTATGAATCCAAGGTTTTTCACTCCTATATACACAACATAATACAAACTGCTGGACCTGTACCATTAACTGCCTCTTGCATGTTGTGTGCATGGGGCTCAAAGTAAAATGTCATTTTAATTATATTGGTCATCATGGCGTTACTGCAAAAGTAAACAGCCCATGGTAGGCATCAGAAAACACAGCGCTGCCTCCGTCTGGGAAGGGACCCCTAAATTTCAGCAATGCAACCTGAACAAACAGCCTAAATACACTATGCAAGTTATTATACACATAGTTCATTTTTTTGTCCCTACCTGAAAACAGCTATTCTTCAGATCCATCCTGAAATCTGACGATGTATGTTCTACAGTTACCAGGCTAGGATATGTTAGCTATGTTAGTTGAGCCATGTTAGCTAGTAAGACTGCTATTAGGGAATGTGCGTCAGCTAATTTTACCTCTGGTCCGGGTGCTGGGATAAATTTTCTGGGCTTCAAATAACAGCTGCAGCGCCCTGTCATTCTGTCCTAACCGCAAACACACCTTCGCCTTTAATACCAGCCGGTCTGCTTCAGCTTTGTCCATTTCAACGTCACGGGGATATTTTGCGGATCCAGTCACTGTGTGCACAGCTCTGTCCCTGTGCGTCAGACTATGTTATGGCAAGACGAACCGCTACAGCTAACGTTAGCCGATTAGCGTCGGCAGCACACAGGCAGCTGCGTAACGTTAGCTAGATGCAAGCCTGGTCACTCCAAGTCCTTCCCTTCACGGCGTCCGATTCGCAAACGATAGTGGTTGTCGCCAGGCGGCAAACAGGGCTGCACTTGTGCCATTTTCAAGCAGAAAGTCAAGAAAAAATGAGCTGATTTTGTGAGCAGGGTTTATAGCGGTGTTCAAAGGATCATCCTGTGAAATTAAACTGAACCCCAGAGCTATGATGTTCAAGAGGTGGATGCAGGACAGAAGCAACGTCATATCCTGTGAAGTGAGCTCTGAAATCTGTAGAAAAGCACCCTGAAATTGACTCAAAATAATATCTACGTTGTCTGTCTATTCACAACTTTGGCAATATGTTTTTTAAGCTTTTTCTAACCAGCAGTTTTTTTTCTAATACCTAACTCGAGCTGAGTAATATCAGCAGGTGCTCCGAGATGCTGCTGCTGCATTCAAGGTCTTGCATTAAAGGCGTATATCCGATGATTGCCTGTGATGCATTCATGTACCAATGAAGGTAAACATACAAAATGGCCCTATGATTGTTTGACAGATGCTTTTTTTTATTAGTAGTATCATATATAGCATTACAATTATATAATACATAATTTACAATATCAAGATATTTTAAAACTTAATTGCTTAGTGGAAAAAAGCGAAAAAAATACGAACCCTACATATTTAGTCATTAATGATCATGGTAGCTACATTAAGGCAGATTTGGTTAGATGTAAGATATTATGGCCTGATTATTCTTATGATCCAGAAATCACCTTTAAGCTTATCTGTTTTCTTGGTTTGATGTACAGAATAAGTTTTTTTTAGGGGTTGTATCTGCATATAAGTCCACATGAAAGTATCAGTGAGAATAAATATGTTGAGTTAGAAACTATGCAACACATTTTTGTTCATGCATATTTTATTCAAGAGTAAAAAAATGTGATTTGTCCCATAGGGCATGCTTACAATGTGTGTATCGCTTAGGAAGTCAAATGCCAAAACATATTTCCATAAATAATAAAAAATGTTATAAGATAAAATCCATTATGTTTGTTGAAATATGCATGTAGACCATACAAGAACCAGAAACAGAGGAAGGAAAATAACTACGCTAAATTGTAACAATAATAATATCTGCAATAAATATAACCAGAGTACAATATTTCCTGTTAAAACGCATGTGTGACACATGATTTTCTTTGTGTCCAATTCATTTACATCTGAAAACCATGCTATCATGCTTTGGCAGCCTGAAAGTTGCTTTTCACTGAGATTATATTCATTCACACTATTGAACATTTTCTGTACATCAGTACAACAGAAAAAAAAAGAAACACACCAAGGCTTCACACCTCTGCATACAATAAATCAATACAAAATTAAAAGCAGTGGTAATAAATAACAGAATGAAAAAAATAGACAAAACAATCAAAGGAAGCCTATTTATAAAATGTATAAAACAAGACAAATAAAACTACAAATATAATTCAAAATTAAAATAATTCAAGTTTACTATTTGAAACACAACTAATCACAATTATAATCTCACATAACATTTAGGAACTTAATTGCATGCATTGATGCGTTCCGTAGATGCTGTGTTAAAATCACTTTTGTCCACCCTTAATTCTTATACCTTTATCATTAAATAGAAAGATGGAATTATATGTAGGAAACAATATTATGATATGAAAAAAATTCTAGAAATTTATGAAAGCATGTCACTTGAGGTTGGGGTTTCAAGGGTATTGATTTTCCCAAATCATAAATTTCTAAAGAACCAGAATGTTTCCTGTTTTAATTTTCTTTCATTTCTCCTCTTCAATCAGCCACAAAGAAATACTCAGTGAAAGATACAAACAGAATTTTCACCAAAGTATTTTGACAGTATTTAAAAGTGATATTGTATTGAAATTTATTGCACTGATTAACTAAATTCTGATCAGGATACATATTTCAAATCATCTAAATAAATTTCAGGATGTATTATAGGACTGTTTCTTCCAAATGATGTGTGGTTGTTATATATTCTTTAAACAAAAAATATTAAAATTGTGTGCATTCACAAATTTGCAGTACTTCCTTCCCACTCTGATCCAGTTTTTCATTTAGCTTTTAAGCATGGCATTTCACTGAATTTGCAGCACAGCAAAAAGTGCAAAAACTCAAAGGGCACTAATGTATATATGAGTGACTGCACATATCCTTTTACTTTCTTGTAAAAAAAAATCTTGTAAATTCAAAATCACTTCTTCTCTTTTGCCTTCTGGTACAGAAACTGGTGTTAATGCTTCTTTGTTGCCAGTCACAGCAATGCAGAAGAGATGCAAAACCATGAGCCAAAGCCTCCTTCATTGGAGGCTGTTCAAGTGTTTCCAAAAAGCAAACAACATCATTTTTGGACATATGTGAGATATAGTTTAATCAAATGCTGTGCTTCTCTGAAGTGAAACGCTTCAACAGTGGAAAGGAAGAAAATAACTTTGAGGATGGTCTGGATCAAAATAGAACCCTTTGGTATCCACCTACAGATGCTGATGAAGTTGTATCTTTGTATGGCATAACGTGTTCCTTTTGGGGTTGTTTTCTGATGTTAAATCTTGGTGTTTCATCTGTCATGCCTAGGTACGTACAGTTAGCGATGGAACCAAAACATTTCCAAATGCTCTTTTCGTCCCCTCCCTTTCTTTCCTCATACCCTCCAAGTTACTTCTTGCTAGGAGATGACTGATTATGAGGGAGGTGAGGAAAAGAGCAGCACTGGAGGATACTGAGACATACCCAAGATGGAGTTCCAGCTCAGACTGCAGTAGCACTGGTGGCGAA